AGAGAGAGAGAGAGAGAGAGAGAGAGAGAGAGAGAGAGAGAGAGAGAGAGAGAGAGAGAGAGAGAGAGAGAGAGAGAGAGAGAGAGAGTAAACGACCATGAAGAGAGCCACATGCAACGTCGTCAACTTTCATAAGCACCGGTGACGATAGGTTGTGTTATTATCATGTTTAAATTTTCTAACGACCTGTCGGCCGCGTTGGGGACTACGAGCTTGTCTCTGTGTGTGATCTGATTTTCTCATCTCTTTGTTGTTAAGCCGTGTGCGATGCACGCTCAGTCTCTTGAAAAAAAGTTGTGAATGCCTACTTGTCAATGGGTGGGTCAATGGTTAGCGCTTCTGTCTGACTGCGTTTTTAATGGTCGAAACGCTCTATTTAACTATTTACCATTTACTATTTACTATTTAGCCTATTTTATAATTTTAGAGCCATTTTTTTAAAGACACTTCCACATGCAATGGCACGCATGCGTAATCTGATGCGCAGTCAACGACCAAGAAGCCACACATGCAAAGTACGACGACGATAGTCACGCACGTCATTCAAAGTGTTGCTGCCATGGCGAGTTACCAAAAAAATCCGATATACACCAACTCGAAGCAGAATTGTGCGCCAGCACAACCATGTCACACACCCAAGACTGTCTTGCGTGTGTGACATGGTTGTGCTGGATCGCGTGATTCCTGCAATCCTAGCGGAAAAATATTCCACTTTGTAGTGGCTGTGCGACAATTTGTTTTTTTTCCCCACTAGGATTGCAGTATACTTGTCAATGGGTCGACTGCACTCACACCAACCCTGCAATCCTAGTGGAAAAAAATATTCCATTACATTTCCGGACAAGAGTGTGGCAGTACGTCAACTTTATATAACTGAGCTTTCCCAAGGTTTTTTTTTTTTTTTTTTTTTTTGCCCGAGGCTGGCAGTGGAAGACCACCAGTACCTTTTGCCCAGGCAAACTTTCAGAATCATAAATGTGACATTAAGGATTCTTTGGGGGTTCGGGAGCGGTCGGCCTGTTACGCAGTAGAGGCGCATGCAAGAACGTAAGAAAGAGCTCGAGGAGTGGACCTATGTTCGGGTGATGGCGCTTTCCTTTTTCATTTACATATCCATCATTTGGGGATTTTCGGACCAAGCTCGTAAAATTTTGTACAAGCAATTTCTATTATTTCTTCCTTGAGAATCCCTAGAATCACCTCGTGAGTCGTGAGGCAGCGAAACTGAACACTTGGTGAGGTTACCTTACCTGGTTGGCAGCGCCCGCTAGAACGAAAACAAAACTGCGCCGCGCCGGTTCTCGCTGCATTGTTGGGGCGCAGTACAAGTGTCCGCCTTGGTAAGAAGAGGCGCACAGTTACTGGTGGTTTAAACCACCAGTACATCTGAGCCTCTTTTTGCGTAAAGGTGAATTCCCCCCAACCCCCGTGGTGTGCCAAGCTTTGCCGAAACGCCAGTGTGCGGCTTTTTTTTCTTTTTTCTTTTGCCTGGCGCCGCCATCCATTTTGGTCCAGAAGTACTTACTGTTCATCCAAAAGCTTTTTGGAGGATGCCTCATTTTCGATTCTCAAGTTTTGCCTGGGCGGCGTACTGGCGAGTTAATATCCAGGTACTCCAGGAGGCAAACGGACTGACTCAGACAAGCAGCAGAGGCATATACACGGGCTGTGATGCCGCTTTTTCACACCTGGAAAGAGATGAGGTATCCGTTGTACTTCACGCTGAGATTGAATTTGTAAAGGAGGAGAATGGAAAACCCGTGTCTGAACGTTATCACCCCTAAGCCCATGATAAGCCGCACCAGAAACAGCGGCAGCACACGGGGTCGCTCAATAACAACCAACTGCACACAGGACGACAACAAGGAAAAGTCACATGCACACACACAGACAGACATGAAAGTGAAAACGTACTCTCTCTCTCTCTCTCTCTCTCTCTCTCTCTCTCTCTCTCTCTCTCTCTCTCTCTCTCTCTCTCACACACACACACACACACACACACACACACGCATGCAACTGAAAACATGTACACAACTCTACAAGTTTAGGCACGGACACGGAAATGTATGAGAAGACATGCACATGTGCACCTACCAACCTGCGACCGCACAAATGATCATGAAATAGTGCTCCTCCCTACTACTAAAAAAAAAAATTCGCACTGCTCCCTGATGCTTTTTGTCAATAAGCCTGAACAGGTACCCAAAAAAAAATTCAAAACTACCCCATCAAGAGGTTTATAACACAACAAGGCAAAGCAGGGGGGCAGGGGGGCAGGAGGGCATCAGGACAGCCTGCCTGGTTGATAGGTGGGAGGGGGTACCAAGTCGGACCAGCAGAAGTCCAGAAGATGGACAAGCAGGCAAATTTGGGGAGATTCGTTCATTGGATAAATATTAAAATAAACTTCTGGTTAAGGCAACCACATCAGCAAGCGGCAACACAAGGATCGATACAGCAAGGTCAAGCAGCAGCGCCACTGAATGAATTGCTCAGAAGATAGGCTCTTTCAAGTTGGATTGGACTGATCGCAACAGCCCACCTGCGGAATGAGGGCGTGCATACGCCTTCCCGCTTTCCTTTTCCACTCCGCCTTTTCATTGCCTGACAGCTCCACGCGCTCGTTGGCGGGCAGCATCATCGTCACTATTGCTGTGTTGAGGAGGAAGAGGCTGCATGCCAAGCATCCTGGGAGTGGATATCCCCCTACCTGGATGAATCAACCGAAGCAAAGCGAAGCACAGAGAGTTACTCAACCGGGGCCAACCCAAACGAATACGCACGCACCCGTCATCAAAGTGCAAAGTGCAAATAAGTATTCGGCCCCTTTCAGGGTCATTATTGCTCTGCTGAGCAGCAGGAAGAGGGGGATGCACGGCAAGCACCCTGAGAGTGCAGCGCATATCACCCTCCTTTTTCTTTCCACATGGATCGATCACACAAAGCATTACCCAAACCAACGTGCATGCGGGCGAGTGGTTTCCATAACAGACATGCGAATTTGTTAGCAATCAACTGTCACTAGAGAGAGACTTCACTCAAAACTTCTCAAAGTGCAAAAGCAGCAAAACAGTACTTATGCGATCATTCGAAAATGTCGAATTCACCAACTGCCCTAGCTCAGTTCGTACACCGATGAACTGTTGAAACAGAGACCGGAGTTCAAATCCAGATCGGTATGAGTCTACTATGAGAGTTTGTAAACATAACTCCGAATTTACCTGGGGCCCGCCACTTCCAAATTTCAAAGATGATATCCCAAGGCTGTCGCCTTTCCTTTTTTTTTTTTTTTTTTTTTTTTTTTTTTTTGTTGCCATCAAATTCAAATTCAAAGGGGGTGGACATTTGGACAAAAGCTTCACAAATCCAGACTGTTCGACTTTACGACTTTCGACTTCTCAAATTTGGCGCCTGAATATACTAAATAGTCAAATTGTTACAATCTGAAAGGATTTCACGTCTCAGTCAAGTCCCGTGTCCCGTTCCCAACTTCCCAAAGCTCCCGTTCCCATGTACAGCAGCCGAACTGGCAGGCCCGGCGGCCGAAACGCCGATTCTGCCCATCAGTCGGTCGAAGTCCTTGGTTGTTAGAAGTCCGGTAGGCACAGTACCCGACAAGAAAAGTCCAAAGTCCCAGTCTATGATTTTAGCAGCGCCATCCTGGGGAAGTCCGGTGAGTTACGGAACTGGCAAGTCCCAGTCTATTTTTAGCCCACAGGCCCTGGGAGACCATTACGAGTATGGAGCCGACCAAGATGCCAATTTGAGTTGCTACGTAAGCAAGGCGACTCACTTGTCAATCCACTTGCTGCAGGAGCGCTGCTGAGGGCTCGTGCGACGGTTGAAGCGACTGGTCGGGCACACTGGCGGAGTAGCCAGCACTAGGGCGCCACAGCCAGGACCAGGGAGAAGGGAGGAAGACACCAGAGCCGAGGCGAGTGCATTCAGAGAGTGCGAGAGTCAGCGATCCAAGTAAGAGAGAAGACGGAGAGCGATAGTGAGGCAGGGAGAGAGAGAG